GTGGTGCTCTGGGCCCTTGGCTTCCATTGGTGCCCAGGCACCCCTTGAGGACTTTCCACCCAGGCTGGCCTGGAGCACAATGAAGGCTCCCTATAGCTCCTGCTCTTCACTGTCATCTCCCTCACACTGGCAGCCCCCGCAGGGGAGGACAGCCACTTGTTGCCTCACAACCCTTCTCCACACCTGGGACAGACCTCTGGCACAGCCATGTCAGTGCTCCCTGGGAAGGGGCATGTGAATGTCACAGAATTTTGCCTCCCCAGCAGCAAGATCAAGGGTCACCTCTGGCTCATAGCAGCAAGACACAGCCATTGGATCCACATTCAGCCCCAGTTCTTCTGCTCTTGCATTTTCGTCATGAGATGAACAGCTCTCCTTTGGATGGAGACTATAGCTGCAGCTCTGAAGGGAAAGAATATTGAGCAGCAGCATTACATGCACAAAAACCTGAGACTGGGAGAAAGTGCTGCAAAACATGCCCAGCAACTGAAGTTGTTTGGCCAAGGCCATAGTATGGGCTTCAGCTTAAAAAGAAGTGAACACAAAGCACTGCATCTTCCTCAGCCTGCCTGGCCCCCAGTCTCAGCCTCGTACCAGAGTGCCCAGGAACAGTACTTCATGCCTCACACACACTGCTACTGTCACGCCCAGTATCTGCATCCCCCACCTCATACAAGTATTGGTGAGTTCCTGGGTTTGCTGCTGTTACAACCCAGACGACTGTGCTCCTGGTCAGTGTTTATTATTCTGCCTTTATTCTGAAACTGAAGCTGTCCAAGAGTGGGTTCTGTTTCTGTGGGGGCTGAAGGGCTCTGGGCTAGTCCTGCAGTGCACTCTGGTTGAGTTGAATAGCTACAGGGATCGACTGGAGCAGACTGTTAGGTGCCTACCTAGACTGGGAGGGGCCAGTTCCCTGGTGCTCTGGGGGAGATGATCTGGTTTTCTAGGCACAGGTAGTGACTGTTGGTTCATGGCCCAGCTCTTAGAGCTGCTGGGGCAAGCAGCCCAGCTGTTCAGGCACAAGGGATGGCTGCTCGTGTCAGAATGGTTTGTGCCTTCTCCATCCTACCTTGAGGAAGAAAGGATGCCTATTGATAGCAGAGTCAGTCTGGTCCATATGGGTAGGGCAGGATATTCCTCTGGAATGCTGGGATGCCTAATTGCCGGAACTCCCAGGACAGTTTCTCTGCAGCCAATACAAGGGAGGAAGAGAGATTGCCTTTGTACTCCTGAACCAGGTTGAGCCACTTCGCCATCGATGCTCCTCTGTCTCTCCAGGCCATCACTGCCAGTGAACTGGGAAATGAGTTCCTCCACGTGGATCACATGCATTGAGCTTTGTCTGGATCTCTGGGTAACTGTGCATCATGAGGCTGACCCCTTGACACATGTCTGGGATCTTTGTTTAGCCTGATGAGAATTTATAGTGAACATTCCACCCCTGACAGGTGGGTTGTGACATGACACCTGCCTTTCCTTCCCACTCCCCCCCACAACCTAGAACCTGGCAATATCCTCCAGGGACTCCCAAATTCCCCTGGTACTCTACAGATCTTCCAAGAACCTCCCCAAATCCATTTTGGGAACCCTCCCAAACAACCCCTGGGACCCTTCCAAATCCACTCCAGGACTCCCAGTGTTCCCCAGGATGCCCTTGAATCTCCCCAATCCCTCAGGGATGCCTTGGTACCCTCCAACAGCTCCTCAGGAGTCCCTCAAATCCATCTTGGGACCCTCAACATCCATCAGGACTCCCCTCCAACTCCCATCACCCTCTCAGGCCCCTCAAATCTACCCAGGGTCCCCCCAAATCAACTCTAGAAACCCTAAATCAGCCTCACCCCCTAACAACCCCTGGGACACTGCACCCTCCCTAAACCCCCCAAATCCACCTTGCACTCCCCAAATCAACCCTGGGATCCTCACAAACAACCCCTGGGACACCTCAAATCCACTCAAGGACATCCTGACTCCTCAAATTCACCACCGTCCCCACCACCCCCCCCTTTCTGCCCCAGACACCCTCTACTCCCTGGGACTCCTCTGGCAGCCCCTAAATGTAACCTGGAAACCTCTCCCTCCCAGGACTCCCCCAAACACCTACTAGGACCCTTCAAACCCCTCCAGACTGCCCTCTTCCCAGTCCACCCTGGAACAACAAATGCCACCTTCAGAAACGCCACAGGCACTCTCTGGAACCCTCCAACCCCCCTCCAGACCCCCTAAATCAACCTCACTACACCCCAGAGTGACTGGGAATCTCACCCCCCCCAAGGACCCTCCAACCCCCAATTAGACGTCCCCAAATCCACCCCAGCATCTCCCCACACAGCCCCCAGGACCCCCTCGGGTTCCTCACTACCTTCTGGATCCCCCAAATCCATCCTGAGAAGTACAAACCTCTGTTGAGAAGCCCCTGGGACCCCCTAAACACTTCCTGCAACCCCCTAGGACCACCCCTACTCAATGGCCCCCCCCTCCACACTGTTCTGGCCCCACCATGTCCTTGCCCTTCCCCCACCACGTGGTGGCCTTGTCCTCCTGCAGTGTCCTTCTATGCCTCCTGATGTCCTTGTGTCCACCCATCCCCCAGAGGCCTCCCAGACTGGATGTCCCCTGTGGCCCTTCCCCTGTGGTGGCACTGTCTCCCTGTCCCATTAGATGGTCCCTAGAGAGTTGTCTCCATGCCCCCAGGGTGTCATTGGGTCCCCTTTCTGGATGTCACCCCCTTGTCCCTCCATCTGGGGTGTCCCAACAGTGAGTGTCCCCAGGCTGACAACCAGGGTATTCCCATGTCCCCGACATGTCCCCAAGGTCTCCCCAGGGTGATGGCTCCAGACCAGGATGTCCTCATATCTTCCCATATCCTGGTGTCTCCCACAGCCCTCCTCTATGTCCCCTATGCCCCTCCACATCATTCCCACTCCTGTGCCTTCCATGACCCCCAATATCTCCTTGTCCCTCCCCCATATTCCACTCATGTCTCCATGGCCCCATATGTCCCACCATGTCACCACATCCCCCACGTCCTCCAACATTCCCCATGTCCCTCTGTTCCCCTACATCCCACTCTCCCATCCCCTGTCACACCTGCAGGAAGTCTGCTTGCTCTTCACTCAGGGGGCCCCTTACCATAGGTATGGCCCTGCTGGTGCTGCAGGAGGTGAGGGCCAGGAGGCTAAGGGTGGTCCAAGGGGGATCTCCCATGGAAGTTGAAGGACGGGGGCTGGGACAGTTCTATGGGCACTTGGAGGAGAGCTGTGGATGCTGGGTGGGGGTGGGGGTGTCCAGAGGGGCTGTGGCAGATCCTGTCGTTTTTGGGGGTGTCTCTGGGGGACTGGGGAGGCCTAGGAGGATCTCTGTGGTGATAAGGGGATGTCACTGGGGCTAAGGGAGAGTCCATGGGGGCTGAGAGGTTTGTAGAGGGGGGAGTCTATGGCCTCCGTGGATGGGGGGCTAGCGGGAAGTGCTATGGGGGGGCCCCTTCGTCCAGAGGGAGGTCTGTCAGGGTATGGGGGAGGGTCACTCGATGTTGGGGCCCACTCCCCACTTCTAGGGGCACATGGGGTTTGAGCTGCCTGCGGTTGGATTTGAAAGGATCCTGTGCCCTGATACTGTTTAGGGGATTGCTACTCCTGGGGGATGCTGTGAAGGGGTCGGGGATGCTGAGGCGCTTCAGAGTGCAGGTAATGGAGAACACATACCTGTGCTCACTGCCTACTATGTCATCCTGTTCCCCAAGGACTTGCAGTTGGCCCGACACCTGCAGGGACTCCAGAGGGGGAGCATCTGATGGGGGACACGCCCAGTATCCCCACACCATGACCCAACCCCTGGCACCCTCCCACAGGGACCACCACCTTAGGGCAGCCCCCTCCTGACACCTTCACATCCCTAATCTTATTGGGGACCCTGAGGGATCCCCACGTTGAGACATCCCCCACTGGGACCCCCTTCTGCAATATCCCTCCCGAGGACCCCCACCTCTGGAGTCTGCAAAAACTCCCCCAGCGACACATCGTAGGGTGGGGGTCTCCCTTCCTGACTTCAGCCCCCTCAGATTATTGTGGGTCCCCACCTATAAGCATCCCAGGACCCACTCACTGGAGGGACATCATCCCCCAAGGGGACATGTCTAGGACTCACACTCTATAGGGGACCTCCCTCACTGCTTCTGAACCCCAATAAATGCCTCTGATCCTGAAATGCTGCTGCTAAAATGAGGGAAATTGGGGGCACCCATGGAGGAGATTCTGGGTGTGGGGACTTAAAGTGGGGGTGGGAGCACCTCCACGAGGGTTGTGGTGATTGGGATGGGGGACACCAGGGGAGGGGAGGATTTGAGCGGTGAGGCACCCCCAGGGTGGGTGCTTCTGGGGAAATTTCAGTCAGGGGCACCCACAAAGGGCTCAGAGGGTCCCCAAGGGGGAGAAATGAGTGGATGCACCTGGGAAGTTGATGGAAAGAGTTCGGGAGTGAGCCCTGTAATTGCAGACCAGGCCTCGAAGGGCGGAGCTTAAAATGCCCCCTTTATAAGGTGGTGTTTGAGGCAGGGCCTAAAGGGCCGCTTTTATAGTGGTGGGGTCATTTTGTCGGGTTAGGGATTAGGGGTTTGCTTTATGGGAGGAATCAATGCCTCGGGAGGCAGAGATTCTAGAGGCAAGGCCTCCGCGTCCGTTTTCTAGAGGAGGGGGGCGCTGCCTCCAGGGGCGGGGGACAGAGTTCTCCTTTATAAAGGCAGAGGGCCGCTGAGGGGCAGGGCTTAATGAGAGAAGGGGCTTCAATTCCCCTATATGAAGGCCGAGCCTCAAGGGGCGGGGTTTTAAGGGGCCCGCTTTATGGGGTCCGCTTTTATAGTTGCGGGATGTGGGGCGTGGTTGTTGTCCTGGTGAGGTGCGTCCACACCACCTGCGAGGGGCAGGACTTAAGGGGTGGGGCTCCATCGGGCGGGGTTTCGGGGTTCCCCAATATAGGGGTTCTCCGGACACCTCCTGCGGGCCATGGCGGTGTTGCTGCTGTTGTCGCTGCTGTCGCTGTGGGCGCTGCTGTCGCTGTGGGCGCTGCTGTCGCTGTGGGCGCTGCTGTCGCTGTGGGCGCTACTGCGGCGCGGCCATGGGCGCGGTCCGCGCTGGGGGGCACTGCACCTGTTGCACCCGCAGGGGGCGCTGCACCTGAGCCGCCTGGCGCGGCGCCACGGGCCCGTGCTGCGCCTGCGCCTGGGAGGCCGCGGTGAGTGCGGGGCAGCCCCAACCTGCTCTAGGACCCCACATCCCCCCAAACCTCCCTCTCCCCGATCCTTAGGGACTCTCAGAATTTCCAACTCTGCCCTCTTCCCCTGCCTTCGGTACCTCCACAAACTTCAGACCTCTCCTCAAATCCCCCAAACCTTTCCTGAGGCCCTAACCCCACGATGCTCCCCCAAAATCCCACGCCAGGACTCCCCACTTGGTTTGGGAACCCTTCCCAGTTTTGGGGTCCCCCCGCAGCCCCTTCTCTTCCCTCCAGACGTGCTGGTGCCGAGCTCAGTGGGGACCATCCGTGAGGCGCTCGTCCGGCACTGGGGGGACTGGCTGGGGCGCCCCAGCAGTTATCTGGGTATGGGGACAGGGGAGGCCGGGTGGGCTATGGGTGAGGTTGGAGGAGTTCCTGTGGCGTTTGGGGAGTCGCTATGGAGTGTGTGTAGGGAAGCCATTTGGGGGATTTGAAGGGAGTCACTACGGAGTTTGTGGGGTTCTCTGTAGGGCTTTGGGGGGTCTCTAAGGGTTTTGGGGGGGCTATGGGATGGCTATTTCCTCTAGGGTTTGAGGGGGACCCTATGAGATTGAAGGGATTGTTATGAGATTTGGAGGGGGTCCCTATGGGGTTGGGGACATGGTGGGGGCAGTTCTGGAGAGGTTGGTTGCCCATAGGGGCTAGGGCAGTTTCTGCAGGTCTCTGCCCCACCAGACACACCTTTCAACCTCCAGGGTTCCTAGTGGGATTAGGGGGGTCCTGTGGAGGATGTGGCTTAATGGGGTTGAAGGAGGCTTTATGAGATAGATGGGCCCTGCAGAACACCTCTGGATGGAAGTGGGTCCCTATAGGGGCTGAGGGGGTTTCTGGGGGTCCCTGACTCCCTCTGCCCAATGCCAGGGTCGCTGGTGTCACAGGGGGGCCGGGACCTGGCACTGGGAGGTCCCTGCCCCGGCTGGCGGCGGCAGCGGGGAGCAGTGCGGGGGGCACTGGCGCGGGCTGGGGGTCGTCTCGGGCCCCTTCTTTGGCTGCAGGGCCGGGAGTTATGTGAGGTGAGACCCTGAAACCCTTCTACCCAAACTGATCCCCCTGACACCTCCAAAACGGATCCTCCTTGCACTCTAAAACCCATCCCCACACAATATTGACCAGTAAAACCCTGCCCCATGCACCCCAAAACTGATACCTTAAACCCCACTCTCTTCACCCAAACCCTGCCTCTTGCACTCAACCCCCATTCTCTGCATCCCAAACCTGATCCCCAAACCGTGCATGCACACCACACTCCCTGTCCCCCAAAACTGACCCACCCAAACCTTACCCTCTTCACCTCAAAGGGCATTATTCCTGTGAATAAAAACGCCACAAAACTCCCCTTGGAGCTCCCCACTTCTCTCCTGCGACCCCCTAAACCACCCTTAGGCTCCCCCTTTATTTCCCCCAGGGCTTCCCCTAACCTCTTCTTTCCCCTAGGAGCTGCGTTCCTATGGGGCGGCCCCCCTGGACCCCTCTGAGGTGTTCACCTTCCATACCTGCAGCACCATCGCACGCCTCCTCTTTGGGGACCTGGTGGGGATTTGGGGGGCCCCAGGATGGAGACAGGGGTTTGAGGGAGGACCCCAGTTTTTATGGGGGCCCAGGGATTTGGGGGGGACCCAGGAGTTTGCGGAGAGGACGCAGCTATTTGGGGGGACCGAGCAATTTGTGGCTGGGTGGCAGGAGTTTAGGGGCACACAGGAGTTTGAGGGGACTCAAGTGTCTGAAATTGTGTTGGGGGTGTTCTGGGGGACCCAGAGAGAACTCAAGTATGGGATAGTACACAGGTGTGTCCTCCTCCAGGTGCCCCCTCCGGGGGAGCTCCGGGCCTTCTCTCGCTGCTTGGGGGAGCTGCTGCAGGTTTGGGGGCGCAGCAGCGTACAAGTGCTTGACCTGCTGCCCCTGCTGCGGGTAAGCCTGGCAGGTCCTATGGGTGGCCTATGGGGCTGTGGCCCTTTTACTGCATGAGGATCTATGGAGCCCAGGGCTGTAGCTCTTTATGGGGGCAATGAGGGAACTGTGGGGGGCTACGGGCCCTTGTGGGGGCTGTGGGGCCCTGGGAAGGGCTGTGAGTATCTGGGGCGTTATGTGGCCCATGGGAGGGATGTGGGGCTTGTGGGGTTATATGGGGTTGGGAGAGGCCCAAGCTATGGGACTGGAGAAGGGTATGGGGGTCTCATGGGGAGTCCTGTAGGGTCCAGAGGGGGCTTGGGTGGTCTCTATGGCACTGGGAGGGGAATTATGAGGTCTCTATGGGGCTGGACAGGGTCTGTAGTGTCTATATGGGGCTAGGGAGAGTGTTACAGGGTCTACATGGTGTTGGGGAGCTCTGTGGGCCTGGGAGGGGTAGTTGTGGGGGCTCTATAGGGCTAGGGTGGTCTATATGGGGTAAAGGGTCTCTGTAGAGCTGAGGGTGCCTATAGGACATTGGAGGGGTCTATATGAGCAAGGAGGACACCTATAGGGTCTATATGACCCACAGGAGAAGCCATAGGGTTTCTCTGGGGCTCAGGAGACTTATGCAGCATCTCTGGGGGAGGGGGTGTCTTTCTGAGGTCAAGGGTTCCTTGGGGGTTTGGGGTCCCTATGGAGTCCCTATGCCCAGGCCCTGCCTAACCCGGGATTGTGGAAGCTGCTGCGGCTTGTCCAACACCGTGACACCTTTGTGAGGGCCCAGATCCAGCGGCACCAGGTGGGGAGTCCTGGGGGCAACAAGGGGTCAGGAGTGGTCTGGTGGGAACAGAAGGTCAGGGGAGATCCAGGGGTTTGGAAAATACTTGGCGGTCTGGAAGGACCCAGGTTCTGGGTGGAAACCAGGAGTTTGGGGGAGTACCCTGGGGCTTGGTGGCACCCACACACTGGTGGAAACAAACTGGGGGAAACAGAGGTTTGGGGGGACCCAAGGGAATGGAAGGACCTGGGGGTCTGGGGCTGCATGTGGGGTTCGGGAGATGTAAGGGTTGGGGGAGGAACCAGGGGTTTGGGTGGACTTGGGGGTTTAGAAGGGACTCCCACGTTTGGGGGCAGTCGGGGATCAGGAGAACACCCCAACACGTGTCATCCCTTTGCCAGGCGTGCCCCTCCCCTCCCGTGGACACAGTTTTGGGGGCGCTGCTGGGGCGTAATTCTGGGGCACGGGGGGGCCCCCTGAGCCCCGCCCGGCTGCACATGGCACTGGTGGACTTGTTCATTGGGGGCACTGAGACCACGGCAGCTGCTCTGGGCTGGGCTGTGGCCTTCTTGCTGCACCGCCCTGAGGTGAAATGCATGTCCCTCCATGTCTTCCATGCAGTACTGGAGGGTCCTTGTGTGTTCCCAGAGGTCCCATGTCCCCACCCACATCCTATATATGTTCTATATGTCCCTTATGTTCGCTTCTCCATAAGCTTTTGCTGTTCTGCCCCCAGATGCCATGTGTGGCACCATGCGTCCCCTGTACGGTCCCAACGCTCCATGTATGTTCCTGGGGGTCCCATATCCCCACCTGTGTCCTACATGTTCCCCTCCCCATGGCTGACACCATACCCTTGCACCACCCTGAGGTGCCACATGCATGTCAGAGCTGTGTCCAAGTCCCCATGCATGTTCCTGGAAGGGACTCATATCCCTGCATATGTTCCCCAGTAGGGTCCCATATCCCCCACCCATGTCCCATGCATCCCCTGTGACTACTAGTGTCCCCTCACCCTGTCCTGAGGTGCCACTTGGATGTCACAGACATATCAGATCTGTGTCTGTGTCCTCATGTGACTCCTTGGTTTGGGTTTTCCATGGAGAGGTGGTCTGGGGGCTCAAGGGTGTCCCCAAGGAGGAGGGAGGAGCAAGTTTCTGGTGGTGGGGTTGGGTCCCAGGGCAGGTTTGGGGGTTTGGAAGGATCTGGGGGTTGAAGGGGGTCCTCAAGGGAGAGGGCCAGATTTGGGGGTGGTTTGGGGTCCCAGGGGCAGGTTTCTGAGTTCGAGAGGGTCTGGGGTTCTGGGGAGTCCCTCTGTCATCCCATTGCCACTGTGCGCCCCCTGGCATGCATCCCCTCCCCCGACATCCCATGACAGCACACCTGTGCTCCACCTGTGCAGCTGCAGGCGCAGCTGCGGGCAGAGCTGGAGGGGGCACAGGGACCCCCTGGGCCGGGGGACATGGGGCGCCTGCCCCTTCTTCAGGCCACTGTCAGCGAGACCCTGCGGCTGCGGCCCCCTGCACCCCTGGCGCTGCCCCACTGTGCCCTGCGCCATACCAGGTATCGAACCAGTACCAGTACATACATACCATACCAGACCAGTACAGGCCAGTGTGGGGGAGGGATGCTGGGAGGAGCTGCTATGAACGAGTCTGGGTGAGGGGGAACTGAGAGGAACCACTACAGACCAGTAAGGGACCACTTGGTATCATCAGTAGGATCCAGGAGAACTCAGCCGAGCCCATTAGACCCCAGTGAGTCATACTAAGACCCATCAGGTCCCAGTGTAGCCCCAGTAAGGTCCCAATATAGCAGTAGGTGCCAGTAGAAGTAGGGCTACAGTACACCCCAATAGACCAGTACAGCCCAGTAAGTCCCTGTAGGACCCAGCAGGCCTCAACAGACCTCAGTAAGTCCCAGTAAGGCCTCAGTATAACCCCAGTATACGTCCCACTAGGCCTCAGCAGTTCCTGGAACTACCCCAGTAGACCCTAACAGACACCCAGTAGATCCTAGGAGACTCTGCAATAGCCCCAGTAGGCCCCAGCAGAGCCCAGAAGATCCCAGCAGAAGTTCCCAGTATATCCCAGTAAGTCCCAGTGTGGCTCCACTAAACCCCAGTAGACATCCAGTAGGCCCCAGAAAAGCTCACTATGGCTCCAGCAGTTCCCAGTGAGCCCCAGTAGACCTCTGCACACACTCAGTAGAGAGCTCCAGTATGCCCCCAGCAGGTCTCCAGCAGATCCTAGTAGGGCCCCAGTAGACACCAATGAACACCCAGTAGCTCACAGCAAATCCCAGTATGGTGCTAGCAGATCCCATCCAGTATGCCAGTAGACCTCCCAGTAAATTCTAGTAGGTCCCAGTATGGCTCCAGTAGATTCCAGTACAGCATCAGTAAACTCCAAGAGGCACGCAATAGACGCCAGAGAACCCCAGTATGGCCCCAGTAGATTCCAATGTACACCCCAAAACTCCCAGTAGGACCTACTAGATCCCAGTATGGACCTCGTAGACCCAAACAGACATCCAGTAACACCCAGTAGCCCCCAGAGAGCCCCTGTATGGCCTCAGTAGGTCCCAGTATGACCCATGTAGTTTTCAGTAGTCCCGCAGTCCATCTCAGTGCCCCTTGTCCCCTTCCAGTCTTGAGGGGCTCCCCGTGGTGGCTGGCACTGTCCTGGTCCCCAACCTTCTGGCAGCCCAACAGGACCCTGACATCTGGCAGCACCCAGAGGTCTTCTTGCCTGGTATGTGGGTACTCCTGCACTCTGAGGGTCCCCTCCTGACCTCCTGGGGTCTCGTCAAACATCAAACTGGGTTCCTTCAACCATGGGCTTTCTCCTGACTCCTGGGTATTCTGGGAACACCTTGATGTCATGAGTGCCCCCCCACCTCCAAACCCACACCCCTTGCCCCAAACCTGTGGTTCTCCCCCCTCCCCATCCCCATTGGTTCCCCCATATATTTGGGTACACCCCCAAAACCTGTGGGTCCCCTTGTTCCTCCCCTCTGTTCCTCTCCTAAACCCCTTCAGGGCCCTCCCCAAACATGTGAGTCTCCTCTGACGCCCTGAGGTCACCCTCGAGCCTCAGGGTCTCTCCAAGCCCCTCGGTCCACCCAAACCCCCATGTCTCCCTTCTAACCCCGGGGTCCCACCTGGGGAGCCCCCAGGTTCCCTCCAAACGTGTGAGTGCCTCCACCGCCCTGGCTCCCCCCGAAAGCTTTTGGATCCCCCCATGCCCGTGGAGCCCCCTCCAACCTGACCCGTCGCCCCCAGAGCGGTTCCTGGCGCCGGGCGCCCCCTCGCGGTCGCTGCTGCCGTTCGGCTGCGGGGCGCGATCGTGCCCGGGGGAGGGGCTGGCGCGGGCCGAGCTCTTCGTGTTCCTGGGGCTGATCCTGCGGGAATTTCGTCTGGAGCCGGGCCCGGGGGGGCTACCGGGGCTCAGGGGGTCGCCGGGCACAGTGCTGCGCTGCCCCCCGTTTCGCCTGCGCATGGTGCCCTGCCAGCGCCCGGGCTCACCCTGACTCTGGCCTGCCTCCTGACTACATTTTTACTTTTCCTGAACATTCTGTGACTCACCTGACATTTTCTGACCCTTCCTGAATACACCTGACTTCACCTGATTCTGTGTGACACTGCCTGAACCTGGCTGACTTTGACCCTTGACTGACCCCACTTGACGTAGGCCTCACCCCTGCCAGCCCTAATGCCTGACCTTGACACTGGCTATGACCCCAGCTGTGACCCTACTAAACCCCATCTGACCCTGCTTGAACCCTGCATGATTCCATCCCAACTCACCTGACCCTTACTAACCTGACTCCACCTGATCCTATCTTGTCCCTGCCTGACCCCTGGGTGCCCCCATTCAATACCTCAGATGCCCGAGTCTCCCCCTGATACCAGGGTCAATGCAGTGTGGGAGGACCCCATTTACTTCCTGCCAATAAAATTTATACTTTTGACCCCATCCCGCAAGTCCCAGCTCTTCCTGGAACCCCCCAAAACCTCCGGAACCCCCGAAGCACAGCCCAGTGTATATGGATTGTATTAGTACTTGCATTTGTATGTGTTTTGCTGAAGTGTAAATAAAAAAATTCATTCAATAAACTTGAATCAACCCTAATAACAATACCTCCCCTCTCCCAGCTCCTGTCTGTCTTTGGTGTGGTTTAGTAATTTTTTTCACTGTATTTCTTGCTTTCCTTCTCACCTTACTTTTCAGACTATGCTTCACTTTACTTTTCTATTCCTAACATAGTTTCTAACTGTGTCTCTAACCCTGTGTTTCTGCTTCTCAGTGTTTCTAATTCTGTCTCTGCTTCTCTAACTCTATGACTATTTCCCTATTTCCTTTTATTTATTTTTCTCTGTTTCTCTTTCTTTTCCACTTTATTTCTTTTCACCTTTAACTCTATTTCTTTTTCTTTCTAACTTTATTTCTAACTTTGTCTTCCTTTCTAGCTTTAAAATAAAAAAGTAGCAGTAGAAATTTTTAGGCTCCCAGAGAGTTAAAAAAACCACAACTTTAAATAATAATTTAAATAAAAATATTTACTCCCTAGGAGCCTGAACGTTTCTACTGCTGCACCACACATTTTTTTTTTTTCTTCTTTTTTATATGTAGTATATAGGACCCCTAATTAGTACTCCGGATGGGAGTAATTAATAATTAACTTGATTAAGCATGACATTCCTACTCCCATGTGGGGTACTAATTAAATTAGACAATTAACTAATTAGATAGCTAATGAGTTAATTTGATAATTAGTTAATTAGATAATGACCTAATTAGCCAATTTTGCGCCGCACCTATCACTCATTTTCAGACCCACCCATCACACACACAGCACCCTGATGCCGCGCCTGGCACCATCCGCCGGCTCCTCCCCTCGCACCACCCCCTGTCCTGCCCCCCCCTCGTGTCGCTGCAGTGCGCCACACCCGATCCCGCCCCAGGTTACGTCATCGCGTCGTTACAGCGTCCCGCGCCCCGCTCCCGGTGCATCATTGGAATGACCCGCCGGGTGGCGGAACACCGTGACGACCGGATGATGTAAATGGAACGGCCATTTTGTGTGCTGGCAGAAGCCACTTACGGGCAAGTCGCCATGTTTGGTGAGGCACTCTGTAAAGACCCAGCACTTTAGCAGTCTTTTCAGCTGCCTGAACGGAGTTCCAACACCGATCCCACGCGTTCAACGCAATTTCCCGCGGCGCCTCCTCATGTGGGGGCAGAGGTGCTGAGGTCAGTGGAACCGGGGGTGCACGAGAGCTGCGCGGTTGCCACCGGGCACCGGGTACCTGGCTTCGACCTGGAAGTGGCCGTCTTTGTCCAGTATCACATGACTCTTTAGGGGCCGTCATCTTTGTCCCACATCACATGATTTCCTGGGAGCTACCATCTTTGTCCTGTATCACGTGATACAATGGCATCCTAGATGCCACTATGGTTCTAGAGATTCTATATAAGGCCTCTAATTAGTACTGCACAGTAAACTAATTCATAATAAACAGGCTTAGTGTTATGGCTTTTTATCGGGATGCTTGATCCCGTGACTTTCGCCATCCAGCTCCATCTATGGGTGCCCGAAGGGGGCCACAAACTTTCCAGCCGCCATCTTGGTTGTAATCCTCTCTCTCGGCCCCAAGTTCCTGTCCCCGGTTTGGCTCAATCCCCGGGGTGGTCCCAGGTGTGGCTGCTGGCCCTGATTCTGGTCCAGGTCGGTCCTGGGGCTTGGGAGAGGCTCGAGGCGTCTTCTCAGGGCTGTTCCGGGCTCTGTCTCGCTTCTATGAGTGCGTGTAGTGGGCCACTTCATATCCATCTGCCATGTTGGCTGTAGTGGTCTGTCTCAGCCCCTGGTGCCTGTTCCCAGTTTGGTTTGTGATAACTGATAAAAGATTCGTGTTAATCACAAAAGCATTGGGGTTTGTATAAACCAGAATATTAAGCTCTGAAGTGAAGCATGGACACTAGATAAAGGAAATTATATGATTAAATAATTGTTTAAAATCACCTTGTTATGTTGTATTATGTTGTATTATGTTACATTATAATATGTTATGTTTTTCAAATAAGTTGTATCAGCTCCCAGCTTGCAAAATTGGACTTCCCAAAAAGCCCTTCCTGCTTTTGTCTGATCAATACTGCCTATCCCAAAAACCAGACTCCCAGAACTTCTCTGGTGGTTATCTACAAGGCCCAGATGGCTATCTGTGACTGATTATCACCCAAAGGCTTTGTGAATTTGTGTAAGGATGTTTATTCAACCACCACTGCTTATGACAACAAAAATCCAAAAATTATAGATTACAATGAGAACCCACAGTATGAGAAGAGGCTGCAAACCGAGGTTGGGTGGAGCGTGGAGTGGGCGGTGACCCCTCACGTTCCCCAGCGCGCTGCTTGCTCTTTCTATATCAAATAAAGCAATCTAAATTTTGCTGAATATCGAGACTTTTGTCTCTTATTTATAACAGGCTCCCTCCCTGGGGCAGTCCCGGGTCTGGCTCTCATCCTGCGTCCAGGTTCCTGTCCGGGTCAGCCCCACGGTTTCGGGGCTTAGGAGAGGCCTGGGGCGTCTGGGGTCTGGCTCCAGGCGCCATCTTGCTTCTAAGGCTGCCCAGAAGGGGCCATATCCTCTCCAGCCGCCATCTTGGTTGTAGTCTTCTGTTTCGGCCCCGGATGCCCATTCCCGGTTCAGCTGCCTCCCCGAGGTGGTCCCAGGTCCGGCTGCCACCCTGGGTCCTGGTCCGGATTCCAGTCTGGGTCAGCCCTGGAGCTTCGGGACTTGGGAGAGGCTCGGAGTGTCTTCTCAGGGCCATTCTGGGGACTCCGGGGCCTGGCTCCAGGCGCCATCTTGCTTCTACAGGTGCCGAGAGGGGGCTCACTTCCTTTCCGGCTACCATCTTGCTTGTAGTTCTTTCAGCCCTGTTGGCATCACCTCCCTTGCAGTCTTAGGACCTAACTAGCAACAGTTCCTGGTGGAGCAGGGGGTTATGTCCCAGACCTATAATCCAAAGGTCTGCAGGTTTAAATCCCAGTGTGGCAGTTTGAGCTGCGGTAAGGCAAAGGGAAGTTGTTGGGGGTGGGGGTCAGGGCTAGTGGAAGTTGCTAGGGGCAGGGCTTTGGGGCCAGTGGGAGGAACTGGGGGGTGAGGCCTTGGGGCTAGGCCCTCCATTAGGATTGGGATATAGGTTAGGATTAGGCACAGGTTGGCTACCCTAACCTGTTCTGGGGACAGCAGTGGGTAGGGAGTTTGACAGGTGAAACACAGTCCTAAGGTGAGCTCAGGGAGGATGGAAAGCTCTCGAGGAACAGAAGGGCAAAAGCTCTCTTTATCTTGATTTTCAATACAAATACAGACTGTGAAAGTGGGGCCTCCATTCTCCCTGGCTTTTTGGGTTTTAAGCAGGAGGTGTCAGAAAAGTTACCACAGGGATAACTGGCTTGTGGCCACCAAGCATTCATAGCGATGTCGCTTTTTGATCCTTTGATGTCGGCTCTTCCTATCATTGTGAAGCAGAATTCACCAAGCACTGGATTGTTCATTCACTAATAGGGAACGTGAGCTGGGTTTAGACCGTCGTGAGACAGGTTAGTTTTACCCTACTGATGATGTGTTGTTGCAATAGTAATCCTGCTCAGTACGAGAGGAACTGCAGGTTCAGACCCCTGGTGCGTGCGCTTGGCTGAGGAGCCACTGGCGCGAGGCTACCATCTGCAGGCTTATGACTGAACGCCTCTAAATCAGAATCCTGCCTAGATGTAGTGATACCGCAGCGCCGCCGGTGCTTCATTGGGCTGGCGATAGCCAGCCACCCATCTGCAGGCAGGCCTGCTGCAGAGTGCTGATTGTGGTCAGGACCAGAGGGGTGGATGGATGTGATGCCGCCTCTCCCCAGTCATGTACTGCATGATCGTGGGTCACCTTGCACTAAATCATTTGGAGACGACCTTATTCTGGGTCAGGGTTTTGTATGTAGCAGAGCAGCTCCATCGCTGCGATCTATTGAGAATCAGCCCTTGACACAAGCTTTTGTCACTTGAATGGCTGGCTGGCCCACTGCTCTGGCACGCAAGTGCGGTGCTTCCTCCTCCACCTCCTCCTCCCTCCTTCTCCTTCCTCCTCCTCCTCCTTCTCCTCCTTCCTTCTCCTTCCTCCTCTGAGGCCTCTCTCGGTGGGCCGAGGCCAACAGGGGGCCTCAGTTGCGTGGGGGTGTGGGAGGCCCGTGCTAGCACGGTCCACCTTAGTGCCCTCCTCTGCCTGGGTCCCAGGCCCAATATGTGGAGTCTGGGGCCCGGGCACTGAGCAAGGGCCTCATGCCACCAGCGGCCTTCTCTGGACATGCATGAGAGAGAGGCCCTGCAAGGCCGTGCAGCCTCGACTTCCCTCTGTGCAGATCCTGGACCCAATACATAGGGAGGGGGCTTGGCTGCGCAGGTGCTGGTGGCAGTGGTGGCGGCGGATTTCCCTTCATCATGCGGTTTCCCTTCACGTGCATGGTGGAAGGTGATCTGTCCACTGCTGTCTCTGGGAGAGAGGTTAGACCTGGTGCCTCTTGGCCCTGGACCGAGCCAGGCAGGGTAGGGCAGCTGCGCGTTGTGCCCCATGTGCTGCATTTGCAGGCATCAAGCTTGGTGCTTGGGAGGCGAAGAGGGATGCACGCGATGTCCCATCCTGTGCCTTCCCGTCCTGGCGAGTGCTGGGTAGACCAGGTCTCCTTGGCTGGACTTGGCTGCATGGTGAAAGCGGGCAGACCTGTTACCCTCGGTGGGCCTTAGTCTCTGGTGGCTGATGGGAGGGGAGGCATTTTGCACATGATTTCTCCCAGCCCAAAGCTGTCACCAGTTAGAGCCCTGGCTGCTCTTGGAATGCCAAATGCCTCCTCCAAACTGATCTGAGGAAACTGGGGGGATGAGTTTTGTTTCACCTGGAACACCTGGGATACCAGAACTTCCCCAGAAT